CTGCCCGGCAGGGAAGTCCTTGGTGGATCTGGCCTAGACTGAGGCAGGGACAGATCCTTGCTACCGCCCCATGCTGCAACAGGGTCAAAACCCCAGCCAGGGCACGCATGGTCTCTGCACAGTCATTCAGCTCCTCTGTCCCCTGCCTGCCCTGTGTGCCCAGCGCCAGCCAGCTGTCCTCGGATGTGTCACTTTCAGATTTGAAAGGCACAGTGTGGAGACTAGTAGATGACATACTGGTTACATCACTGGACTCCCACGTCATCAACGGTAGACTACATGGAGTCAAGTCCCGGACCTGCAGCTTAAAAACTCACACCGCGCACATGTGTGTGTATACCCAAAATCCTGAGAGGAGGTCAGAGGAGGAGGGATGCAATGTGGACATCCCCCCAAGGCAATGATTCTTGCTTTCTGTCTCTGTCACGCTCTGTCTCTCAGGCAAGTGCACACACTCTATAGCAAAAAAACTTTTTTTTTTAAAGGCACTGTGTGTACAGGGGTTCCTGCTACAGCTCTCCCCAAACCTGCTCTGTGATCCCAGCTGGTCACTGAGCTTCCCTGGAACCCTGTAATGGGACAGAGGGTGGGTAGTGTCAATCCAATGACCCTAACTCTGAGACTCTGTTTTCTCACACCAGCTTCCTCTACCCCTCAGTCCCTCGCTGTCCCCAGCTTTCTCCCTCCAGGCCTGCTCTCCTAACAAGACCCCCATTGCTTATTCACCTCCATCATCCTCCCAGGGCCATGGCTAGAAACAAAAGGCCTCAGGAAATTCCTGATCTCTTAGGAACTGCAAAGTGAAAACCTGTGCGCACACACTCACACACATGCTCATAGCTGGGGCTGTGTGCAGGGCTGACCCAGAGGAGCGAGGAGACGCTGGCAGCATCTGCCCCTCTCTAACTGTTAACCACGGCCTGGTGAGCTCTCCCTGTGCAGACCAAAACTCCAAGTCATTTTTCAAAAACTGAATCTTTTAGAACATTTGGTCACCTGGGTATATGCCTGTGGTCTTCTGGCAAGTCTTTTCTCTATGAAGTTGTGGGCTCTGTGTAAAAATCCAGTTGGGCATTACCAGAACCTTGCACTAAGTAGCACACGCTAGTCCTCAGCAGTATCTGGTGGCCATCCTTCGCTTTCTGGGGCTTCTCCACTTTGGCTCCTGCTCCAAGCTTTGTGGTTGGGCCTCAGGCCCCTTCTGCTCTGCTCTGAATGACAGTCACCCCATTCTTGCCTTGAACCTGTGAATATTCCAAATGCTACAGCTAAAGAACGAGGGGGTGAGGCCTTGCCTGCCAGTGGCTGAGATTCCCCTTCTCCATTTCTTAGTCCTGAGCATCCCTACTCCAGGGACAAAGTATTTGAGATCGTAGCACTGGACAACCAGGACACTGACCGCAGAAACTGCTCAGCAAAGCCCAACGAGGGAGGTGGCTGGGGCAGAGGGTGAAGGATCATTGAAGAGCCAACACCTATAGACGCCACCACTTTAACGTGCTCCAAACCACCTGTAAAGCAGGTGCTGGCAACCCTCCTACTAACCCAGAGTCAGAAGCTTAGTGACTAGCCCAAGAATTTCTCCCTTCCCCACAGTGGCCTAGGGACTTTCACTCACTGCCGTCTGACCCAGCAGCTGGGGTCTGAACCTCAGAGGGGGTATGTGCACAAGTTCAAGAGCACAGCGGGGAAAGGGTGGGCTTCTTAAGAGGGCCTCTGCTGGTGGTCCCAGTAGAGAAGAGGGAGAGGGCAGAGGAAGAGGCCAGCTTCCATCACAGAGCTCGTGGTATCTCTGCTCACAGGGTCTCCTTGCCTCCTCCTGCCCCTAGGCTCTGCTGGTGCTCTCCAGGGAGTCAGCCAGCCTCTCTTGGGTGCCAAAGCCCTTCCTGCTCTTTTGCACCCACCTTTGTTCCAGTCCTGGAGGAAGAGAAGCTCTACCAAAGCCAAATGCCTTGTCCTCCCCTCTCATTCTGGCCTGTTCCTCTTCAGGGCCTAGCTTCAGGGGGGCGGCCAGAGGATGCACTTAAATCTTGTCCACACAAACACACACACAAGAAATCTTTGCATACACTGGAAAACACCCATTTTCCAAAGCCAACCCCTAACCAGGCCGTTTAACTTTTGATCACATTGGCCACAGCCTCTGATGTCCCTGCCAAGGAATGTGGGCCCGGCACCCATTAAGAGGAATCAAGGCCAGCAAGTGACATGGTGGTTAAAGCACTGGATCCCAACTAGCCAACTGTGTGGTTCTAGTCCCAGACCAAGCAGCTTGAAAAGCACACCAGGCACAAGTGTGTGCATGCCCAAAATCCAAAGAGGAGAACAGAGGAGAAAGGATTGGAACGTGGCCATTTCCCCTGGGGTCAATTTCTCGCTTTCCTTCTTTGTCTCTCTGGAGAGCACATGTGGCCTACAGCAATAATGGAAAGGGGCGGGGGAGAGAAGGTGCAACCAAGTTGGGAATCAGTCTGGCCAACTCTACCTTTATTTCCCGAGGGAAGGAAACTGGGTAGAGGTACAGGGAGAAAATATGGCCACAGAGAGGCCCAGGAAAGCCAGCTAGGAGGGCAGCTGTGATGGTCTGGTGGCTTCCCTCCCTGTCTCTGTCACAACATCTTCTCCCAAGACCCCAGGATAGGGGCAGGGAGGGCTCAAGCCCATCACCAGAAGCAGCGGTGGAAGCCCCCTCTCCTGGAGGAAGAGCAAGCCCAGTTGGAAGAGGGTGCGGAGAGAGAGGTTCCACCTTCGGCATTAATATCCCGCCTCCTGCATTCTGTACAGAGAGCTGGCCTGAGTCAGCCTACAGAACCCCAGCCTCAGGCTCCCATCCCATGCCTGCCACTCCTTCACTTCCTCCCAGCTAGCGGCTAATCCTGACAGGGCTTTGGAGCCTCCAGATCCTCTTGCCAGTGCTAGCTCAATGAAGACACCCTAAGATACAAACAGCAAGATGCATTGAGGTGGGTGTGGCCCAGCCATGAATGGAAGGCATGAAAAGATGAGCACACTAAAAACGAGACAAGAACTTGGGTCAGCCAGTGGCATGGAAGTGAAGGCGGCTGAATCTCACAAGCTGACTGCACGTTTTGTGTCCCAGGCCTGCTGGCTTGAGAAACAAGCTGGACACGTGTGCTTGCATGCCCAAAATCCTGAGAGGATACCAGAGGAAAAGACACTATGGCGTGGTTATCCCCCTTGGGGTTGATTTCTCACTTTGTCTCTGGCAAGCACACACGCTTAATAGCAAACTAAAAGAGAGAGAGAAACTCAGACCTGACCAATGCTAATTGCTTCCTATGCCTAAGTTAGCTGTGTGACCTTGGACAAGTGACTTAACTTCTCTGAGCACTGGTTTTCTTGTTATAGATAAGTCAGTGGTTTCCAAACTTTTCCAGTCACATTTTCCATTCTTTAAACAAAATCTTACGGAACCCCAGCTTACGGCATTGACTGAAGAACCCTAATTTGATAAAACATGAACAGCCTTAACTTTCTTCCAACCACTTCCTTCAAACATCTCCCCGAGCCACCTCTGCCTGTGTCTCAATGTCACCTCAGGCAGACCCTTGTCATTTCAGTCATTAAAGTCTACCCAGTTCCTTCTGGCTTAAAGCTGCAATCTGGGGTACCCACAGCCTCCCATCCTCCATTCCAGTTTGTGGTTTGACCCATGGTCTAAAGGACAAGAACATGGCCTGCCCTTTCCTGGCTCCTTCCCCTCGTCCCAACCACCACCACACTGTCCTGGAGCTCTGTCTCAAGTTGCTGGGGCAGAAGGGAGGAGAAAAAGGAGCTGAATCCCTCCCATCTGAGGCAGCTCTGGCGCTCCAGAGGTCCAGGCATGGCCTGCTCAGGGAGTCAGCCCTTTGGGACAGGGTCCCGGACACTCAGGCTAGGCTGCCTTCCTTGGTGCTCATTTGGCACACAGGAGACCCACCTGTTCCTGCCTCACCTGGCAGTGGGGACTGGTGCCCCTGCTGCCCCAATCTGTCCTGCCCTCTTTTTCTTCTGTCCCAGTGGGCATCAGGGCAGATCAGCCAGGTCTCTGCATAAAAAGAGGCCCAGCTAGGGAATGGGAGGGGTCTGATTCCCCTTGTCATGGGCACTTCCATCAGAGGCCCCTCACCTGGCTTGGGTAGAGACCAGGGGTTGCCCCAGCCTCCAGGGGAAGGTACAGGGAGGATGATGGACCTAGAGGTCTGGGGTCTCCCTTTACAAGGCAGTGGGAGAGACTTCATGCTTGAGTGCCCTTTAGGGCTTTAGACAGAATTTGAGGGTGCTGGAAGTGCTCCCAGTCATCCTCCTCGCACAAGCGCTTGCTAAGCCTGTCTCAGCCACAGAACCTTCGTATGAGATCTCGCCTGAGCCCCAGGTACCTGTGGGTTGGAGGATGTGGCCAAGGCAAGGCAGGGGCCTCAGCTGCCGCGAGCAGAGCTCCAGCCCTGGAACCCCTGGAGTTCACCCTCAGCCTCCTCAGCTCACTCAGAACCCTCTGAGGCTCTGATGGGCTGGAGAGGGGGCACCGCCCCACTGCTCTCTGACAGGGGGTGGGGCACAGGTGGAGCCAGAGGCAGGGAAGCAGCTGGGTACCCACAGCAGGGATCTGGGGAGCAGGGAGGGGCCAGGAGGCAGAGACACAGAGAGAGAACCAGCTCAGGTGGGGGCCTGCTGATACTAGCTTTGCCAGAACCAGCCATCCCTAACCCTGAGCCCAGACTTCCCCTATGCCCCTAAGCAGGGGGAAGAAAAGGGGCCATGGCCTCAGGATCAGCAGCCGCCACCTCCACCAGGGCAGCGCGAGGATGAACAGGAGAAATCTGGTGGGGACAAGAGGCCCGCCACGGAACCTGTCTTTAAGGTCCTAGACACACCTCTGAGCCCTGGTGGGGACAAGAGGCCCGCCACGGAACCCGTCTTTAAGGTCCTAGACACACCTCTGAGTGAGGGTGACGAGCCCACAACGCTGCCGACCCAGCGGGACCACGGGCACAGCGTGCAGATGGAGGGCTACCTGGGCCGCAAGCACGACCTGGAGGGGCCCAACAAGAAGGCCTCCAACAGGTGTGTTTGGGGGGGCCTTTCGGGTGGGGAAGGTCGGGCAGCCCCCAGGGATCTCCCCACCAACAGACTTGGTACCATATGTAGGGAAGATGGTACCTTCAGCCTCTGGTCTTTGGGAGCACCTGGCATGCCTCTGAGCCTGGCCCAGGGCCTACGTGGCATAATTTGAAAGTCCAACTGCAGTTCTGGTCCTGAGTTCAAATCCTATGACTTCATACAAGTTACTCAACCTCTCTAGGTTGGTTTCCCCATTTGTAAAACTGGGATGATGGCAATAGGATGCCTTTTCACCACAGATACTGTGCCTGGCAAGAGCAGGTACCTGGTGACTACTAGTTGTTATTATTCTTACTATCCCAGGGCTGGGTAACAGGTAGGTAGCTCTTGGTACTAACAGCATATCCTTGACCGAGCCCCATTTTTTACCCATCTGGGCCTCAGTTTCCTCAGCTGTAAAACAGGAGATGGGGCCAGGCAGCATTAAAGCAACTGGACCCGCACACAAGGTCCTTGGCTCACATCCAAGGACCTCCCTGTGCACACCAGGCATGCATGCATGTACATGTCCAGGATCCAAGCTGGCTGAGACTGGGGTGGATCGTGACATGAAGACCCTGCTTGGGGTGCTTCTCTCTCTCTCAGAAGAAATAAACTTAAAAACAACTTTACTTAACAAAAAATGAGAGCAGGGTCAACAGGTGGTGTGGTGGTTAAGGCGCTAGACTCTCACATAGCCAACTGTGGTTTGCATCCTGGACCCAGAGACTTAAAATTCAACTGGGGGTGTGTTGTACATGCTGAAAATCCCAAGAAAAGAATGAAGGAGAAGGGATTGTGGCATGCCATCCCTCCTGGAAGGTGATTACTCACTAGGTCTGTCTCTGTCCTCTCTCTCTCTCTCTCTCTTGAAGTCACATGCCCTATGGCAGAAACCTTAAAAGAAAATTAAATGGGAGATGGGGGTGGAGGATGGCCCAGCTGCCTTCTGGAGATCCCTTCCAGTGCTTCCCTTAGTGACTGACGCTGAGGAACTAACTCAAAGACTGCTTTTTCCTGACGTTGATGCAGTTGTGGCCTTGGGTGTGGTCTACCAAGGTTTCCCTGTCTGGGGACCCTAAGGCCACAGCTTCTGGCCACAGTCCAGGGGCCAGGGAAACAGCAGCATCAAGAGGTTAAAGTCCACTGTGTTTCCAGGGTCACCTGGGAACATACAGTGTGTGCCCTGGGGAGCTGGCCAAAGCACTCTCAAATTCCAACAGTGAAAGATTTGGAGGCCCAATCCCCCTGAGGTGGTTTACTGCTTTAATGAAGAGTTCACCAGGAGAAAAGACCTGCCATGTGCCAGGTCTTACGTTAGAATGGACAAAATCTTCACAACAACCCTGTGATATTGAGGTTTCCATTTTCTGGATGGAGAAACAGCCTTCAAGAGGTTAAGTCATGTGTTCAATGTAGCGTTTTACTCCAAAGATCCTGCTGCTTCTTAACAACTGCCTTAACTGCTAGAGAAAAACATCCCTGGGCTGGGATTCCGAAATCTCGGCTTTGTAGACTTGGCTCACAGGCCAACTTGGTACAGGTTAAGTTCACTCTAACCTTCCAGTACTACCTCCCTGTGTACCCTGCTATTTCTCCTCCTCCTTCCTGCCCTCAAAAGGGAGGGGAGGAGGACAGAGGAAGAGGAGGCTAAAGGGAAGAAGCAAACCTTAGTGTTCTCAGAGTCTGTTGTTGTAAAACTGCAACATCACGCTTCCCAGTTGTCCACGAGGGAGCTCCGAGAGCCTACCCACTGGTTTATGGGCTCGATGCTCTCCCCAGTCATGCCAACTGATCGCACAAATGGATCGCTTTGCACAAACCTACTAAACAGTGCTAGTACGGGATAGTGAGCACATATCATCAAAACAAAAATGCAAGTCACCAACACGAGACCCTATTCAATTCACTTTACAGTCCTGTAGCTAGGATCTAATAGGCTAAAATGTGAAAAATACTGCGGAAAGTTAAATTTACACTGTTGGTCTTAGACTCAATAATTCTACTTCTAGAAATATATCTCAAGGTGAGATCAGAATTCTAGGCAAAGGTTCATGCATGCAAATGTTCACCACTTGCCCTTTACATTGCGGATAAATTTTCCTGTATTATAAAGTATACTAATAAAGGGATTTGTGTGTGTATGTGTGTGTACACACATGTGGTCTTCAAAAGGTTTGTGGAAAATGTATATTAGATGCACGATTTGCACAATTTCTATTATTTTTTGCACCAAAATAAACTCATACTTCAATTTCATTTGTCCACAAACCTTTTGAAATTCCTTTGCATATGATGGAATACCCTATAGCTAATCAAAATTATTTTCAGGAAATAAGTTTAAAAGCAGGATATCAAGGTGAATATACAATCTAATCCAATTTTAACTAATAATATGGGCAGAAAAATGTGAATGGGTGAATAAAGACTAGAAGGAAGTACCAAAAGTATTAATGATACTTAACTTTTGGTGGTGAAATTAATCCATATGAATTTTTTAAAGAATTTTTATTTAACTTTATTTATTTTAATTTGACTAGAGAGGGGCAGAGGGAGAAAGAGGGAGGGGAAGTGAGAAAGCAAGCTGCCAGGTTCTGGACTCAAATCATGGTCAGCGATGTGGGAGTCCAGCGCCCCAACCACCATGCCACCTGATCAATCACATGGCCCCTCCATATGATTTTTACTTCCTTTTTAAAGCAATAAAATGTGTGACTATATATCAAGGCAAAATGGGCATAATTCAATCAAAAAAAAAAAAAAGGAAAGCTATGGGAATCCAGCATCTGGTGTGGGATCAGAACTGGCTGACCTGCTGGTCTGCATCTTCGCAGGTCCTGGAACAACCTGTACTGTGTGCTCAGGAACAGCGAGCTGACCTTCTACAAGGATGCCAAGAACCTGGCTCTGGGGGTACCCTACCATGGGGAGGAACCCCTGGCCCTGAGACATGCTATCTGTGAGATTGCAGCCAACTACAAGAAGAAGAAGCACGTCTTTAAGCTGAGGTGAGGCCTTCCTGCCCGCTCCCCCTAGGCTCCGGCTTCATTTGGCATCTGTGGCCAGGTAGAGCGGGGTTGTATGGAACCAGCTCCAGCCCAAGCCCATCCTCTGGGGTCGTTCTAATCAAACAGGCTGAGGGGGTGTCCAGACTTCTACTGCTCTCAGAACGAGCTGTGCTGGCTGAGAGAGTTCTAGATGTCAGGCGCAGGGGTCTGTAGGATCACAGCCAACGCTCTGCCCAAACGCCCCCAGGGGCCACATGACTAGAAACCTTTGTCGTCCTAGGCTGAGCAATGGCAGCGAGTGGCTCTTCCACGGCAAGGACGAGGTAAGTGCTACGCCTAATGGAAGAGGCAGGTGGGGAGAACCCAAGCCACTTGACCTCAAGGATCCCCCAGGACAGCCCCATGGACTCGGGCCCTCCCTCCCCACAGGAGGAGATGGTGTCCTGGCTGCAGGGCGTGAGCACCGCCATCAACGAGTCCCAGAGCATCCGCGTCAAGGCGCAGAGCCTGCCCCTGCCGCCCCTCTCCGGCCCCGACGTCAGCCTCGGCAAGAAAGACAAGGAGAAGAGATTCAGTTTCTTCCCCAAAAAGAAGTAGCAGCAGGCGCCCAGCGCGGCGGGGCGGGGCGTGCAGGGACCTGGACCTCCGCGCCTTCCTCCCGCTGCCTGCCGCCTGCCTGCGAGCCGC